ATATATATATATATATATATATATATATATATATATATATATAGGCATAAAAAGCACAGAGCAGATCAAAGCAGAGCAGAGCAGAGTAAAGCAGAGCAAAGTAACAGCAGCAGAACAGAGCAGTAGCAACACGGCGTCGACGCAGAACGCTGGGAAACCTTGGCTTCGCCCGTCTTCGTAGACGTTCGTTGCGCGAGCTCCGTCCACGAGAGCGGCGCGAAGCACACGAGGTCGAAGCGAAGCTAACCGAGCGTCTAGGCGAGTACCGTCGAAGGTATACGAATGATAACGTAAACGACCGAGGGTGGGCTTATTGGTGGGGGGTAAAGAGCGAGCTCAGTTTCTCGGTTCAGTCGAGCCAGCGTCGTGGTTGGAATCGGTTAGGGTGAGTGGCGGGCACCGTCTCTCTGTCGGTGGGGAGGGGAGACTAGAAACTCTTTCACATACAGGTTGTGTCTCAAAAGGCAGAGAACATATACACATATATATATATATATATATATAGAAAGTGATAGAGAGAGAGAAAAGCCGCTCTTTAATAACGCGTACACGAGGTAGTCCCAGTCGATGGTGGCCAGCTGCCGGAGTAAGGTTCACAATCGCAGCTGTGCGTCTTCTTCTTCTTCTTCCTCTTCTTCTTCTTCTTCTTCTTCTTCTTCTTCTTCTTTCCTCTCCTCTTCTCTTCCCCTCGCCGCTCTTTTCCTTATTTTCTCTATCTCCCTCTCCACCTTTCTTCTTTCCCTTACTATTGGATGTTGTCCCTTTCTTACCCTCCTCTCCCCCCCAATCCCTTCTTCTTTACCTTTGAGAGAGGAAACACTTCTTTTCCCTTCTAGTGAAATTCTATAACATCGTCCTTCCAAAACCTTCTCGTTTATTCTCCTGTTGTCCATGGTAGAGTGAAGATCCTCTTTCCCTTGGAATATTATCTCGCAGTCGTTCTCGGTTTTTTTTTCTACGAAAATATAGTCTAGTTGGATGGGAACCTTGTGTCACGAAAGATTCATCCTCTTTTTTATCGCATTAGCTAACAGAAGTAGTAATACTTGAGTGCACGCATATATATACGAATATATATATATATATATACAACTTGACGAAAGACACTTGTAGTGAAATTACTGTGGTGATAAGTGCGCGTGCAAAGTATAAGAGGACGGAAGCAAGGAAGAAAGGAAGAAAGGAAGGAAAGAAGGAAAGAGGGGCGTTGACGGAAGAAAAAAGAATTAAAGAATAAAAGGAAGAGGAAAGATAAAAGTACATACTCGTCGACCGTCTGTAGACCAACGACGACGACGACCACCATCTCAAGGCGATTTATTAAAAGCTGAACGTGCGTGCGTGAGTGCGTGCTTGTATGCATGCGTGCACGAGTTAGACAGAGAGAAAGAGAGAGGAAAAGAAAAGGAAGGAGAAATCTACTGGTCGTCCTCGTCCCTTAAAAGGAAAAGGAAACAGAAAGAAAAATACATATATATATATATATATATATATAAAGAAATAGTAGAAGGAGAACAGCTGGCTATTCTGATCCTTTTATATCAGAATTTTTTGTTGTTGTTGTTTATTTTTATTATGACGGAAACGCGTGTTCCATAAGGAAGAAGAGAGTATTATTTTAGCGCGTATGTGTCCAGTGGAAGAAAGTGAAAAAAAGAAAGTAATATTTGTGGTCTTCGGTACTCAGGATAGTTTTTTTGCTGCTTCAAGAGGACCCGAATCATCTTTTGCCAGGATGGCACTCGCGCGGTACGCATTTAACATTTTTTATTTTTATTTTATATAATATTAATTTTAATAACCAATATATATTTGAATCAATCAATCAATCAATCAAGCAACCAACCTAACCAAACTAAACCAACCAACCAGGCAGGCAGGCAGGCAAGCATCCTAGGCTGCTGCTGCTGCTGCTGCTGGCTGGTTGCTTCCGTCTCCTCTTCTGCCTTAGTTGGCCTTCGTCTGTTCTGCGAGGGCAGGGCCTGTTGACCCCCCTCTTCTCCACTTTTCCCCTATCACATTCCCCTCCACTAACTCCTCCTCCTTCCCCTTCTCCTCATTCGTCTCTTCTCTCCCCCTATCTCGTTCGAAACTCACTCGTCACGCCTTTTATATATACCCAATCAAAACTATTTCTTTTTTTCTTGTTTGTTTGTTTGTTTGTTTATTTATTTTTTTTTTGTTATCTTTATACACTTCATATGTACTTTGTTTTTGTTTTGTTTTGTTTGTTTTTTTTTATTTTTCATAATTATTTTCTTATATTGTGTATTTCATATTCGTTCGCAATAATAATATATTAAAGTTAATTTATCAGGTTTTGAAGAAGAATTTTTTTTTTAAATCCTTTTTGGGCCTCGTGGATCCTCCTAATACACGGTTGATGATATCCTAGAAGAGAAAAAAAAAAGAAAAAAGAATTAAAGAAGAAGGAAAATATAGAGAGTGTTGAAAGAGAATACACATGAAAAAGAACAGAAAAAGGTTTAGTAAAACAAAATCATAATTTATTTTATTATTATTATTATTGTTATATTAGCGGGTGGAGTTTGAGAGGGAGGGGTGGGGATAAGTGGTAGAGCGTTATAAGAAAAATATGTACAATGTGTTATCCTTCTCAAATGATAATGGGATCTCGTACAATGACATAGTAATGGTTCCGTCAAGAGATTAGCGGTGGTTCGATAGGCGGTCAACGACCGGCCCTGCTACGAATATATATACACCTCCTCCACCTCTTCCCACCCCCTCTTGTATGTGCTTGCCATGCGTGTTCCCCTGATATATATATGTGTGTTAACATGTACGTTGTACTATTGTGTATGTGTATGTGTATGTGTATGTGTATGTATGCGCACTAGTTGAAATGAAAAGAGGGTGAGCCGGGTATGTCAGGGGTTGGTGGTGGTGGTGGTGGTGGGGGGGATACGGGAGCTCAGTTTTCGGTGATCGGGTTAACGCAGCGACCATTGTTCTTCTCTTCTTTATCCCCCCCCCCCTATTCCCACTCTACCACTTCATGTTTTTTTTTTTTCATCGTCTCTTTTGCATTATCGTTTTATCGTGTTTCCCCTCTACTTGTTTCCTTATGCTCATAACTCGGAACAAAGTTCTTGGTCAAGTCAATGTAGTTATTGATGGTGATGGTAGTGGTGGTGGTGGTGGTGGTGTGGTAGTTGTGTGATAGTAGTTGTGATGGTCGTCATGTCTATCCAAAGAAACCGAATGCAAGGTTAATACACCTTTTTATGTCGAGTCCGCGAGCCTTTTAACGGATGCGGGCTCCGTCATGGTTCGACGATTTGCTTTCATGCGAACGCATTTGACCCTGAATGCCATTCCGTTGGAATTTAAAAGATGAAAACGCGTTCTTCCGCTTCTTTAACTATACATATATATATACTTTCAAAAATATTTATTTTATTCTTTTTTTTTTTGACTATATATTTTATTACAAATTTATTCTGAAATTAATTTAGATTTTGATATATTCGACCTCGTATACGAGTTGAAAATATTTTATTGAATAAATATGTTATTTAATAATTATACCAAAAAAGAAAAAAAACGTGTTAATGTATGGTGATTATTCTAGTGAGTTTTTTTGGGGTGGGGAGGAGGGGAATGGGCGGGAACATTTGAAATTCAAAAGTTCGAGAAATCGATCGAGGTAATCGTTCTTTTCTACATCCCAGTCTGCTGACCGTAACAAAATGGCTAGCTAGCTCTCTAGCAGTCAGCTAGGTAACTTCTTGTATATGGCCACTTCGTGACAAGACTTAGCGATTAGAATTTCTTTCGATTTTCTGACTAGCTAAGCCCTTCTTCTATTGGTCAACGTTCCTTGCTGATCGAATAACGCGATTGCACGTTCAATCAACGTGATGTGAAAAAAAAAATTATAATATACAGTACCCATTAGGAGATTTAACTGATTTTTTTTTAGATATTTAATTTAGTTAATCTGTTAACCGGGCGAAGGACGTATTAATACGTCAAACGTATTTTACGTCTTTTATATATAAATGAAGGACAAAATATTTATATTTCATAGTGTTTTCATTTCTTTTAAGCATAAATAATAATAATAATAATAATAAATAAATATAATTAATAATATAATTAAATAATAAATAATAATATAAAATATATATAAAAAATATATAACAAATAATAAATAAATAAATAATAAAAAAAAACGCTTGGTAATTAAAAAGGGAATTCCCCGGTTAACAGGTTAACACTTAGCGCCACGTGAATTTTGACGGAAATCTTCGTCAGGCCACGCACTTCAAAACGAAATGTTGAAACGAAAGTCGTCAGACGCCGGTGCCTGACACGGCTTGACGGAAAGTTCAATGTCAGTCATTAATGATGACATCATTAATGTTGGTTTTTTTTTTTTTGTTCTTTTTTTCTAAGTTGCTTTCTAATCTGTTTTCTAATCTAGAACGTTATCGGAAGGAATATTTGTTGAATAGAAAATTTTTTTCCTTGTTGATGATAACTTCCTCTTTTCCAAGTATAGTATATATTAATACTTTAGTCATATTGCTTGTTATATTTACTTCCTGTTGGTTACCAACAGGAAAGTATTATCGTTCAAAAACAGTGATTCACACATCAAGAGATTATAAATGTACGATGAGGTTACTTTAAACAAACATACAAACAAACAAACAAACAAACTCATACAAATTGTATTTCTTTTTAATTTGAATTTTATTTTATTTCAATTGATTGATTACTATTCGATGGCCTTGACACTGTTACTAATGGAATTTTACAAAATAATTTGTATAAGAAATTTCTCGTTGAACAGTTGTGTTTAGGTGCACTTACACACACACATATATATATATAGGTTTTGTGAACTCAATAAAAATCATCAGGTATGACCTTACACACAACTTCGATATACAACTAAGCAAACAACGAGTACAACGTTTATTACTTAGCTTGGGTTGAGTTTGATGTTGAAGTTTTGTATATTAACTTCCATCGTCGTCATCTTTACCATTACCAACTGTTGTGACGATGATAATGACGGATCTTGCGTAATAATCAAATACTTTTTTTTTTTTTTTTAACCAATCGTATACAATCGTTACATTTGTATAAATATAAATATATATATATATCGTTCGATTTCTTAGTAATTATTATTGATCGATAAAGTTATCTCATCAAAAATTTAGTAAAAAAAAAACAGCAACCACTGTTTATATATATATATACTTAGCTATATATAAATTGTAATAAAATTATTGAATATTTTTTAATTATTTAATATTATTTTTAAATATTAAATAATTATTTAATTATTTATAACAAATTATAAAACGGTATAATATATATATATATATATATCTAATAAAATTATTTTTAATATTTTATTATATTTTAATATTATATTTTAATATTTTAGTATTTGTTAATATTAAATAATTATTTAGTTATTTAATAAAAACAATAAAACCATATAATATATATATATTGTAAACACAGTAGGCATATTCGAGATACTTTTAAACTTCTACAATCATACACTTTATATCACTACTACTGTCTGCATTTATGCGAATGTATATATACATATGTATGTGTATATGTATGTGTATTCATTGCTACAGTTTACGACCCGTCTCGTAATAAAGATTTACGTGTTTCAAAGTTAATAATCTCTTTATTGATATAATACGTTTAAACCGGTAACTATGAACAAAATCATCTTTCGACATATATCATTTAATTAACTTCCACATCCACCCACCCATCCACACACACACACACACACATTCATACATACATACATACATACATACATACATACATACATACATTTTCACACTTTTCAAAATTACATTCTTCTCCTACTTCTTAAAAAAGAAAAAAAATATTTAATATGTATTCCAAAAAATGAGATTACTACAAATAATATTAATTACATTGATTAATCGTCAACTTCGTTATAATCGTCATAGTCGTCCGTCATAGTGTAGTCTCCTTTGTATTATTAATAATAATAATAATAGATAATCAAACATGGCGTTAAATGAGTTGGAAAATCATCGACCTTGTCCGATGTTATCGTAATACCCGTGCGCCATCATTTTTTTTCTACATCTTCTTCTTCTTCTTACGACACATGCATACACACACACACACACATAACACATAACGTAAAAACACGGGAACATGCACATGTATGATGACACACACACCACACACACACACCCAACATAACATGCACGTGAAGGTAGAAAATGCATATACGGTGTCGGTGTCCTTTATTCCGGTAACAGTTGACCTAGCATTGTTATCACATCGAGCACCTCTTCCTTCCTCCATCCCTCCCCACCCCCACCCCCTCCCCACCTCCTTCTTCCCCTGCCCCTGTCTCTGCCCCCTTCTCTCATAAAAGCTTTTTCACACGTAGGAAGAAATCTCGTAAAGGTCGTTTATTTTATTTAGTCACTTTATCATTCTTATTCATTCTATCTTGTATTATTATACGTGTTCTTTCTCTCTCTCACTCTCACTCTCTTTCTTTTTATTAAAAGAAAGATAAAAGATGATAAAGATCGATTAGATGATATCAGAGTTCGTTGATTATCTGAAGAACTACGTTTAATAACAGCTTGACCGATAACATAATGCACTTATGTGTATTTTTATCTTCACACATATGCACACACACACACACACACATATATATATATATATATATATATATATACGTTTACTCG